CTACTATAGCTCTCTGGTATAATTTAAATCATGCATGGCGATACCTCCATCGGTATTTTTATTGTTCAGGGTTTTTTTGCTTATCCAGGGTCATTTTGTGGGTAAGATTGTTTTTATTTTGAACTCCTCTGAAGCATTGCTTTGGAATTTTGATGCTAATTGCATTGAACTATAGATTTCTCTGAGAATAGTGGCCATTTTACAATATTAATCGCACCAATCCATAAGCACAGACAGTTTCTCCATCTCCTTGTGTGTTCTTCAATTTATTTCCTTCGAGTTTTGAAGTCTTGACTGAATAGGTCTTTTATTTCCTTTGTTAGGTTTATTTTAACATGTGTTTAGGCTATCATGATTGAAATTGATTCTATGAAGTGTTTCTCATTATGTTTGTCTTTTGAACACAGGAGGAATACTGATTTGGGTCAGTCATTTTTTTCTATCTAATCTCTTTGATAAAAGAGTTTATCAGTTCCAAAAAAGTTGTCGAAGTTATTGGGATATCTAATTTATAGACTCATGTCATTCCTCTTGTAGTAATTTTTCTTTTTTAGTAATTTGAGTAGGGATTTTGTTTTAGTGGTCCTTTTTATTAGAAGTTTTATTCCTATTTTATTAACTTTGTCCTGACTTTGGTTATTTCTCTCTAGCTATTGTTTTTAGGATTGCCTTGTTGTTGGTTTTTGTCTGTGTTTGTTTCTTATTTTAATTCCTGAAAGTTTACCATCTGGTTGTTTATTTAATATCTCTGATTTTTCTTCTTAATGTAGATACTTAGCACTATAAACTTCCCTTTTGAACTGTCTTCATTGTATCCCATATATTTAGGTGTGCTGTGGTTTTATTATCATTCGATTGTAGGATATATTTATTCCCTTATTAATTTATGTAATTACCTTTTCATCTCTCAATAGTATGTTTTTATTCTATAGGTATGCATATTTTCTGTAGTTTCTCTTGCTGTTAATTTCAAGTTGTATTCCATTTTGGTCAGAGAGAATTCAGGATGTCATTTCAATTTCTTATGTTATTTTTTTATTCCCTAGTGTTTTAATATGTTGTCTCTTTTAAAGATTTCATGAGGTTCTGAGAAGAAACTGTATTCTTTGATGTTTAGGTTGATTATTCTATAAATTTTGGTTAGTTTCATTTCACTTTTGATGGTATATAATCTAAGAGTTATTATATTTATTCATATTTTGCATAGTTAATCTACAACTGGTTAGAACATGGTACTGAAATTATACACTATTAGTAAGTGAAACTAATCTGTGATTTTAAATCTAGTAGTGTATATTTAAAAAAATTATATGAATTTTATTTAGAAAACATGTATTTACAAGTGTAATTTCTTCTTTGTGGGTTATTCCACTGATCATTATGAAGTAACCAACATCTAAGTAAGTATCTGACAAAATTTGGTTTGGAGTGTATTTGGTCACATATTAAAAGAACAATGCCTACTTGATTCCTGGTTGCATTTTCATGGAATATTTTCTTCCACATTGTACTCTAAACCCTTGTTCCTCTGTTATGCTAAGGTATGTTTCTTAGAGTCAACAAAAAGAAGGAATTTGTTTTCAAATTCAATTTTCTTTTCTATGTCTTTTGATGGTTTAAATAAGTCCATTGATATTTAAAGTTATTTCTGGAAGGTGTGTATTGCATTTTGTCATTTTCTTTTATTTTAGTCCTCTTTTTGTTTAATTAGTCTTTCTTGAACTCTCTTTAGCTTGTTTATTTTTCTCTTTAAATCAACACATTATTCTTGTTTTTTCTGTATAGAAGACCTGGTGTCAACAGTCCCTTTAGTCTCCTTTTATAATTGAATGTTTTTCTTTCATGGTTAATTATGACTTATAGAACTGATATGACAATTGTTGAAATGTTCAGAGTTTAAAACATGGCAATTTTAATCAAGGATTTTACTTTCGTTAAAAGAAAAACAGACTTTTTAGCTAGAGGAATCTTTGAAGTCAGGAGATTTTTCTTTGGATAATTTCTTACGATGTGATATAAATCTTTTAATAATATTAGCCCAGAGAAGTTTCTTTGTTTCTGAAATTGTGTGACATTTAATTTCTCTCCTGCAAGTTCAAAAAAAGTATAAAAAGTACAGAAATAAGAAAAAAAATGTTGACACTCAGGAAGAAACTGGGAAAAAAGGAGCGGGTAGCACTGGAGAAAAAATAGAGGAATAAATCATTCTGAATTTTTTAGTTGAGATTTACTAGAGAACAGAGAAAGTTAAAATATCAGAGACAGGTTCAGAGAATTGACCAGACAGTGGACATGGATATGAGGTATTTTAAAACCTTATAAAAGTAAATGCTATTTTACTAATAATCTTTAAGGGGATTATAATTACATCATTTCCCCTTCCCTTTCCTTACTTCCTCAAACCCTCCCATGTACCACTAATATCTACTACCAAATGGTCAGTGTTGAAAATATAAATAAAAGTGCCATCATGAAGATTGAGCATGTAGCATTTGTATATTTAGGAATATATGCATATATATGTACTGTATGTGGCTATGTCTTGTTTTTAACTAAGTCTCTAATCTTTCTATTTTACCAGTGAAGACTCAACAGTCAGATTCTTGGGTGAAAACCTATTAGTTCAGAGAGCCTGAAAAGCAACCAGTTGACCTTCCTCTTTAGCCAACATCCCATATTCAAAGCCCCTTCAGACTATTTCCTGTGGATTTCTCTATCCATTTAACACATTCCCTCTCTATGACTACTTCTTGCTAATTAGTTGTTGGTTCTACCACTTGACCCGATGTTTTATTTACCACAAATTCAGAGTTTACAGTGTGATCTCCTATCCCTCAACAGTAGCGTAAGGAGCATACTCCTTTTGGTACCAAGAACAATAGTTAAAAACTACATTTGGCTGCAGTGGCAGAGGTGATTCCAGTGGGACTTGCCTCCAGCTGAGCAGCAGGGCCCTGATTGCAGTGACACAGTCAGTAGACGAAATAGCAGTAGATTCAAGTGGCGCTGCTGTGCTGAGTATAAACAACATGCTACCAAAGGAGAAACGTAAACACCAAGCCATCCACAAAACACTTTGATCTACAACAGTGTTCTGCCTCCAAGACATACTAGTACAAAGCTTGTAAGAGAGCCAACCAGTAACTTATTTGACTTAAGGTCAAACCCTAACTGTGGTGGTTTGAATAAAATGGCACCCATAATTCCATAGGTAGTGTCACCATTAGGAAAAGTGGCTTTTTTGGTAGAAGTGGATCAGTAAGGGGTGGGCTTTGAGATCTCAAAAGCTTAAGCCTGGCCAGTATGGCATTGTTTGTTGCCTTAGTTAGGATTTCTATTGTTGTGAAGAAAAACCATGACCCTGGCAGCTTTTATAAAGGAAAACATTTATTTGGGGCTGGCTTTTAATTAAAAGCTTTAGTCCATTAACTTAATGATAGGAAGCAAGTTGGGGTATAGACAGACATAGTGTGGAAGAAGGAGCTGAGAGTTCTACTTCCGAATCTGCCGGCAGCAGGGATTGACAATGCCATACTGGCCAGGCTTAAGCTTTGGAGATCTCAAAGCCCACCCCTTCGTGATCCACTTCTACCAACTTTTCCTAATGGTGCCATTCCCTATGGGTTCCATTTTATTCAAACCACCCACAGTTAGGGTTTGAGCTTAAGTCAAATAAGTTACTGGTTGGTTCTCTTACAAGCTTTGTGCCACCATTATACTAACATATCTGTAGGCATGACTTAACTTTTCTGTGTTCAATTTTTTGTGTAGTTGTTGTTTTAAACAATAGTGCCTTTCCATTAGATCCTCCCATCCAAGTCAATATTCTCAATTTAAAAATCTCATAGATCATAAAAAGAAAGAATAACCAAAGTAGTTGAAGAAAAACAAGTTGAAAGTCTAAATGCCTTACAGTTAAATGTGAAGTTTGTTACAATTTACCTACAGAAGCTCTACATAGTTAAACATAAATTATTGTTAATGACCACAAATATTATCATCCTCATCTTTACTATCACCACCATCACAATGGAGTAGTTACCATGCACCAGCCACTTTTTTTTTGCACTTTACCTATGTCAACACGTTTACTTCACTAGTTAGCCCAATCAAATAGACATCACTTTCTTAATTTTCAATATTGAGAAACTTAATTGTATAAAGAAAAAGAACATTCATTCAATAACACATGGGATGTAGGCAAAAATAATATTGAATCCAGGTAATTTTTTATAACTTATTGACTTTCCCAAACACTTACAGGTAACAAGGCAAAAGGACAAAAACAGTCTCTTGGGTTTAAATGTTTATGTGGTATAGGTCATGTTGCTACTTTTCAAATGTAGTTTATTGTTTTAGTTTTAAAACATAAAAATGAAATATTCAGAAGATAGTATTTGATTTTATACTCCTCAAAACTTTCACAATTACATTACACTAAATATGCTTTATTTTCATCCTCTTTCTAACCTGTATTATTTCCTCCTAAGCATGTGAGAAGTATCCTGGAATATATAAGGCCTAACAGCTTAAGCCTGTTCATACTCAGGGTTAATAAGCAGTGTGAATTTGGTGGACAGCATGATTTCAGGAAAAGAAGACAGTGTAGAACTTGGAAATGTAGAGACAATGGAAAGAGAACTTGAGAGTCTCCATTACAAGAAGCATGATCTGGTAGTGGGCAGATAGGAATCCAAGAGAAAGGCATCAGAAGTCTATAGAACAAATCCTCTGAGATGTAAATAGAAGAGATGTAAATTGAGCATTTTACTCTTATATTTAAGGATTTAGATAAAAGCATGATTTAGTCTTATTTCATAGAAAAAAATGTCCTTTCATTTGCTCAAAGAGTTACTTTATATGATGTTCCTCATACATGCTGGTTAAATACGTGGGACCATGTATAATTAGGAGGAAAATAACTTTTACTGTTAGTACTTGTATATACTTTAATATCAAGTAGGGCATCATAATAACAAACTATTATTTGTTTTGGGTAGATGGACTGGATGCTTTTACTAGATTTCTTAAAACTGAATTCAGTGAGGAAAACATTGAATTTTGGGTAGCCTGTGAAGATTTCAAGAAATGCAAGGAACCTCAACAAATAAGGCTGAAAGCCAAAGCAATATATGAGAAATTCATTCGGAATGATGCTCCAAAAGAGGTACAGTGATGATTGAAAATAATTTAACTCCTTAATATTTTCATGGGGTCTGTTTTCCCCAATCTTTGCTGACTATATTAGCAGAAACAACTACTTTTTAGAAACTAAAGATTTCTAAAGGTGAAAAAGACAAACAAACATAAATATGTTATACACCTTTTAAAAACTGTGCAAGACTTTATAAGCTTATACTGAGCCAGTAGGGTTAAAGGTGGTTAAAGGTACTTATCTCCTAGCCTGAAGAGCTGAGTTCAATGCCCAGACCACACATGGTGGAAAAAGGGAACCAGCTCTCCAAAGATGTTCTCTTCACACTATACTAAGACATGTATGTCCCCCAAATAATAAATATAATTTAAAAATAATTTTATTTTATCCACCTATGTAAAGTTTAATTTGTCCAAAAGAATTGTTTTATCAGTTTAGGATAAGCTAAAAGAAAACATTTAATAAACAAATAACATAATTCTACTTTGGCAGTGTTTCAAGTGACAAACAATTGTTCTTTTGATTACAACTAAATGAGTTTGTCCTATTAATTTAGCAGATATACTTAACTGCAACAAAATATTATATGGTTTGATATTTCTATTCTGTATTCAATAAATAGTTTTTCCACTTTCAGAGTGGCACATATGCTCACTCACTGTTCAATTACAAATTATTACTACACTGCTACCTTTTGGTTTGAGACAAATACCTACTAAACTCATTCAAATTAAAGAAATAAGAAGAGAAAATATTATGTCTCGTATTTCAGAAGACATATGGTCCTGTTGATTTGGGTACTATAGCAAATCTATATGCAATGGCAGAGATGCATAGCAGAGAAACTTGCTCACTTTATGGTTGCAATAAGTAAAGAGAAGAAGGTGCAAGATGGGAGGAGATAGAAAGGGATTGAGGGAGAGAGATCAGAATTGCAGTATCTTCTCAGTGCAGGACTTCTATAACCTAACTTCTTAGACCTGGAAACCTACGTCCTAAGGATTCCATCACTGTCCAATAGAGCTTCAGGGTGGCAACAAAACCTTGACTATTATAATTATATTAACTACTCTCTGAACAGCTTTAGGACTGAAACTGCTACAAAGTTTATAAAGCAATACTCTCTATACAGATATGTTGATTCAGTAAAGGGTCTTTTTTTATTTATGTAAAAGTATTGCAAATTATATGGTCACTCAAAAGTAGAAAACAGAATAGCTTCCTGAAAATACAGTATTAGTACCAGAAACATCAAAGGGGGTATAATAAAATCAATTGAAGGATAGTGTATGTAAGGCATATTCATTTGTTGCCACACTTTTGCTTGTAGAAAAAATATGTTGAAAAAATAGCTGCTTAAACAGAAGGGTGTTACTGATATCACAGTCACTCAAAAAGCTTCTCATTCCTTATAACTTAACATTTTAACCTCTTAAACATTAGTTCTTCACTGTGAAAAAGAGTGAGTTAATGTGTTAACTATATGAAAGGTCCCATTTCATTATTCAGTTGTACTGAGATAGAATAAGTCTAACTATTAACAAAGAGTTAGGAAAGCCAGGTGAGATAGCACCCTAGAGTATACCACTGTATCCTTAGACTTGGGCAGGAAATACCCCGGTATCCAAAAACACCATAGCCACTCCAGCACTGTAAGAGTATGAGACATTCTCAAAGACATGTATGATTGTGCCTTTTTCCTATTTATGCAGGTTAACCTTGATTTTCATACCAAAGAAGTAATTACTAAGAGCATCACACAGCCAACTCTCCACAGTTTTGATGCAGCTCAAAGCAGAGTCTATCAGCTCATGGAACAAGACAGTTACACACGCTTTCTGAAATCTGAGATCTACTTACATCTGCTAGAAGGAAGACCTCAGAGACCAACAAATCTTAGGAGAAGATCACGATCATTTACTTACAATGAGTTCCAAGATGTAAAGTCAGATGTTGCCATTTGGTTATGAGTAAAAGTAATTTTACTTATTTTGATCATAAATTTGTACATCTGCTCCTAAAATACAGCTTGTGTATTTTAGTAATAAATGATTATACTTATTACAAACACCAGGCAAAAGCATTATTAATATGTTAGATACTCAATGTTTTATACTCAAATAATTCATAGCCTATGTTCTACCATATTTTATGAAAACCTATTTTTATACTCTACCTATAGTACAAAAACTTTTATTTCTTCAATAACCACCAGTAAAAAAGATATCATCAATGCCTTGTAAAATGTTGAACTAAATGTAAACTTTACAGTTATGTCATATTTAGTTTAGATTATTTTCTGTGTATAAATAATACACTTAGATAACTGCATATCCATATAATATTGTACATGATGATGGGCTGCAGCATATAGATATCACCCATTTCTTATAATGGAGAAGGATAGACATCTGTAGTCACATGGTAATTCTGACTCCAGAATAGCTGTCCATCACTTCCACATTTAAACCAGCATCAAGAAGCTATATAAAGTCATGTTTCAACATATAGATTAAGCAGGTTAGTCATAACCCAGGTAGATATGTGAGACCGGACTCTGCAGTCATGCTCACTCTAACTGCTGAACATCCCCAAGATGGAGCTATACTCCTGGTCACTGGAGCATGCTCATATTAACATATCTCTACATATCCACTATGAGAACATTGTCTCCCAGCAAATGAAAGTGCCACTGAAACACCACCAATCAGTGCTTCAATGATGATGACCACATGAAGTTGGGGTAGAAACTTATAAAGAGAGACAGTGAAACAAAGAATACTACAAACTGGACAGCATTGGCATCTGCCAATTCTGTTCTCACTATTATGTTCTTGGAATCCTTGCCTAATACTATATTATGCCATAAGATTATACTAATAAATGTATGTCTCTATATTACAGAAATATTTCATTGTAATGTGTTGCATGGTCTATAAATGTCTGTATTAATGATGGCATATTTTCTGATTACTAAATGCTATCATTTTAGTCAAAATGTAAAACAAATTCTACCATCTATAATAAACTGCTCAAACTTAACTATTAATGTCATTTATTTCACAAGATATTTCTCCCAATATCTTCATGCTTTCAATCTTTGAATGACATTGAGATAAGAAAATCTTATTCATCTATTTTGTCATTGATATTAAAGTTAATAATGTACACTTTTTAAAATATTGAAACAAACTACCACGTATTTCAAAGAGCCACTAGGAAGCTGATTTTTAATTTTTCTTAGGCTGATTTGTATTTCTTACACAAAGCATGTCCTCTCCATAGAATATAATTGTTTTATGTACTTAGCTAAATGACACATGCTTTCTATTCTGATTATGAAATATATGGTTTGATTTTACTATCATAATTTTGGAAAATACATACAAAACACACACACACACACATATATATATATATATATATATATATGTATATATATATATATATATATATCAGAATTTCCAAAGTAAGCTTTAAATTAGTCACAACAGTCCAATCATTATTGAGCCTGAGAACCTGTTACTTTGTCCTTGAGGTTGGAAGTTTCAATGGGAGTAGTCTCAGAACAGCTGTTATCACTAGGGTACAGTGAATCGATAATTATCCAGTCCACAAGACAGGATGCTGCAGTCTTCCCAATCTTGCAATTTAAACCTGGGAATAAAATCTGAAATTTTGGAAACTCTGGCTATACTGCAAAGGAATTAGCTTCAGAAGAGAAAGTGAGGCAAATGGACTTGCTGGCAATTGGAAAGGCCATGTGTGCAGAAGGCAAGAGGCAGAGTTTCCTTTTAAAACACGTTTTTTAAACCATTGGATCTTAACAGAAGGAGCTGCCTTCACTGGACTAGCCTCTCCACATCAATCAGGACCATTCTTTAGTTGAGGCTCCCTACTCAGGTAATTCTCATCTGTGGCATGTTGACATGAAAACCAATTATAATAACTTCATTTTTCAAAATAATTCAATGTCTGTGTTAGCTATTTAGTTTATTGAGACATAAAAAATGACAGACACAACTTAAATTTAGTAACTATTTCTTGTGACTCCATTTTTAGTCCATAATTCTTTGCTACATGGATCTTTGGTCGTTTATACGGCATTATAATCATAGAAGCATGTGGGAAGTCTGTACCCATAATGGTGGACTGGATTCAGAGGGCAGGAAACGGAACTAATTCTAACACTTAAAGGCATGACCCTGGTGGCCCACATCTTCCAGCAAGACCCCTTCTCCAAAAACATCATCAGTAGCTGGAAACTAAGCAGTCTTGAATGTATAAAGTACATTTCATATTCAAACTATATCATTATTTGTTAAATTATACAATATTTAGTGACTTGTGTTGAAAATATACCAATATTTCTGGACTTCAAAGACTTCTCAATAACTCATGGATATAACCTGGAAAAACTAAAGAATTATTAGACAAATGGAAGAAGAGAAACATCTGCAGCCAGCACAGAGCTCTGGCTGAGAGAATAACAGTGAGCACAAACTCTCCTGGGAACTCAGAAGCTCCGACTTAGCTCCCTCAATGACTCTCTGAATCCCCATAAAGTCATCAACATCTACAAGCCTTCCGTGTTTTTATAGACAGGGACTTAGGACTTCTAGTTACTTTCGTTCTCTGGCTTTAATAAAATATAGTGCACATATGAAAACAGAGACTACGACAGCGTGCACAGGGCTAGCACAGGTCCACACCAGACAGGGTGCTAGTGCTCAGAGAGGGAAGTGGTCAAGAGCTCCCATCCTTAACTAAGAAGCTATCTCCAACTGACACCACTTGCAAAAGAAAAAACTAGTTTTCTCCAATAGAGTTTCACTGGGTACATAATCCACACTTAAGGGTAGGGCCAATGCAAAAGAAGCCAATGGTATTTTTAATTTTTTTTCTCAAATTGCTTTGTTTGGGTTTTTTCTAATTTCACTGGCTCTTTGATTGTATATTATGGAATCTTATTGTGTGATTTTAGAGAAAGGGGGGAAAGAGAGGTACACAGAGAGAGTGTGTATATCTATGTCTGTATATGAATCTCATGTGTTTTTTCTTTGTCTTTTCCTTAATTCTGTTTTTATGCTCCTCTTCTCCCTTTTTTTCTAAAGAATACTGAAGGTGGATGAGTGGGGATGTAGGGAGGATTTTCAGGGAGGAGAGGGGGGTAAAGCTGTGATTATAAAATATTGTATGGGAAAAATTATTTTCAATAAATGTAAAAGAAATAAGGACAAATCATTAAAACAAAACTATCAGTGAAAGCAAATAAATACGGTAAATGAAGAGAAACCAGATTAATATTAGGAATGTTCATTGGACTAATAATAGAGAATATTTTTATAGAAAACTTATTGGCTTGACATATAGCTGAGTGCTACAGTGCTTACCTAGAATGTTTAAGACCCTACACACACACACACACACACACACACAGAGAGAGTGAGAGAGAGAGAGAGAGAGAGAGAGAGAGAGAGAGAGAGAGAGAGAGAAAGAGAAACAGAGACAAACAGACAGACAGACAGACAGAGACAGAGAAATGTTTTCTATCAGCTCAGCAGCTTGCCCCCAATCCAATAATACTTTAATCACTATCTGCAGCAACATGGCCTCTTAGTCAGCTCCTAACTGGCCACTCAAGCTGAGGCCTGAAGGAACTTCTGATCCTGCAGCCTTTTAACTAAGCCTCTATTGTTCTATTTATAAACAAAGACTCAGGAGTCAGATAGTGGGGTGAAACCCTGCTAGATCAGAGAAACTAAGAAGCAACCAGTTGACTTTCTATTTTGGCCAGAGACCAAACAAAAAAAACATCTCTCTCCACACATCCTAGACTAAAAAGACAAGAAATCTCTTCCCTATGGTTAATTCTTGTCAACTAGTCGCTGTTAGCTCTGCTCCCTGACCCAAGGTTTATATTAACACAGTCTCAGAGTTTCAAAATGGGATCAAATATTCCACTAGAGAGCAACAGAGAAAACAGAAGGAATGAAGGATGGAAGGAAAGAGAAGAAAGGAAAGAAGAAAGGCAGGTAGGAAGGAAGGAAAGAAGGAAGGCAGGCAGGCAGGCAGGCAGGAAGGAAGGAAGGAAGGAAGGAAGGAAGGAAGGAAGGAAGGAAGGAAGGAAGGAAGGAAGGCAGGAAAGAGAAGAAAGGAAAGAAGAAAGGCAGGCATGAAGGAAGGAAGGGAGGAAGAAAGGAAGGAAGGAAGGAAGGAAGGAAGGAAGGAAGGAAGGAAGGAAGGAAGGAAGGGAGGGAGGGAGGGAGGGAGGAAGGAAGGAAGGAAGAAATATTTGAAACAGAACCACAGAAAATATAACTTGAATGTTTTAAGAAGTGGTATGATTGAAAGGATGTCTTTAAATGTTTCACAAACAAATCATTTCTGAAACTACTTGCAGTTATTTATAATAAAGTACATGTTTTGATTGCCTCTTGATTTATAAAAGAAGAATGTCTTTAAATATGAATACATGTATAGATTTTGGGTTAATTATATAATTTCAGTTCTTGAAATCCATAAGCAAAAGTTAATAATGAACATGTTAATTGTATATACAATGGGTCAATTATTTTCTAGTCAACTGGAATCAAAGAAGCTTTATGTAGAAGGCAGGGCAGTATTTCTGCAAAGAATAAAGATTTCAAATGAGACATTTAAATTTATAGTCTGACTGTGTCACTTTTTAAGGATACAATAATAAGCAAATTAATATAGAAAAATTCATTATTTTGATTTGTAAATTAGAACAAAACATTTTCCCTGTTCTTACTGTAATTAAGATTTAAAATATTTGTAGAACTAATTACGGCCATTAGTCCCTGATGTCTTGGCTACACAACAAATATTCTTTGTGCAAAATCACTTATTCATTAATAGAATGTAGAGATAGATGTTGGTCATATCAAAACGTTTATGGTTTTTACATTACATAGAAAAGTAAATAGATGTTTTGTTTAAATGAGAAGATATAAAAAAGTTTGAACCAATATTTTATGAAAACATAGATAAAACAATTATTTAAATTCTGTTACATAGTTAGTTAAGAACTAATGAATAAAATATATTGAATGTTCTAAAGATGTCTGTTAACAGACTTCGTGTGTCCATAACACAAAGAGGGATACTCTCTCAGCCTGGACTGTTAGGGGAGTGCCTGGACTCTGCCCTGAGTGAAATGACAGACTCTAGTTGTCCTCTATGTGGAAGGAGGTGGTGATAGGGTGGGAGGCTGGGGGGGATTGTGGGGGTGTGGGAGGAGGGGAGGGAGAGAGAATTGGGATTGACATGTGAAACAAGCTATTTAAAATTAAAATAATAATAGAAAAAGATTGAACACACCTTGCAATATATATATATATATATATATATATATATATATATAAGATATATCCCAACAAAATGATCACAGTTACCTGTGGAACTAACTAAACTAAAATGAAATGGTTTAATTTTATTTCTTTTTTGCTATCTTATTTGGTCTTATATTTGCCTTCCTAATTTCTTTTTTCTCTTTTTTATTTGTTTTACTTTTTATAGATTTTATTTAAATTAGTAAAAATCTTATTTTACATATCAACCCCAGTTCCCTCTCCCTCCCATCCTTCTATGCCCCCCACCAACCTCCTCCTCCCATTCTGCATCTACTCCCCAGGGAGGGTGAGGCATTCCATGAGGGATCATCAAAGTCTGTCAAGTCATTTGGGGCAAGGCCTAGGCCCTCCCCTGTGTATCAAGGCTAAGAGCATCCTTCCATGGGAAATGCACCCCCAAAGTCCTTTCATACACTAGGGATACATCCTGGTTCCACTGTCAGAGGACACATAGACTGCCCAGTGCTCCTACCTGGCAACCATGTTCAGGGGGCCTGGTTTGGTCCTATGTTGGTTCCCGAGCTATCAGACTGGGTCCATGATTTCCCATTTGCTGAGGTCAGCTGTTTCTGTGGGTTTTCCCAGTGTGGTCTTGACCCCTTTGTTCATCACTCCTCTCTGAAACTGGATTCTGGGAGTTTGGCTCAGTGCTTTGCTGTGGATCTC